AAATACCCACCCCCAAGAAAAACCCTAGTTTTATATAAAAATGTCGTTTGATGTGTAACATAGATGACGGTGGAACTGCATTGTGTTGTGGGAGTCCTGGAGACTCGGGGTAAAATGCATGAGTGAGTCTCATCTCATTTCATAGCATGGCATGGTAGAATTTCAACCTAGAATTGCATATTCTTACTTGGAATGTTGATGTGAATATAAAATGTTAAATGGGAACATTGCATGTGCACTTAGGTGGGGAGTAGCCTCTATAGGAAATACTCTACTGGGTGTGACTCACCCTATACGAAAAATATTTTAGGTACGGGATATACGCCAGTAGACGGCTCTCATTCAGGGCCGCAAGGATAAAGAAAGCCGACTTGTGGCTTTAATAACTTCTTTTGTAAAACTTTTGGAGCAAACTAGTTTTGGCATGTAATTTTATGTAAAAGAGTTGTAATTGAACTCATATGGACTGCTTCAATATAACCTTGCATGTTTTTATATGAGTATGGATAAATGGACCCGGTGTGGTCAATTTTTACTCATAAATAGACCCGATTTGGTCATTGTGTTATATTGGGCCTCGGATGGGTCATCTGAATGTAATTGCACATGTTGGATTTTGGGTAGAGCTCCCCGTACAAATGAGATTCTGTCCGAATTTTGTTAAATTATGGATTCAAGTAAATAGGACATTATGGCGTGATATCGAGTTACATGATATCCATAGACATTCTACGGGTTGATGGGTGATCAACGGACCCTCGAATTTTTGAGATGTCACATTTTTACTATTTTGGATGATGGGTGGCAGTAGTGGCGATGATAATGGGTAGTGGTTGGCCGCATTGGTGGTTGGTGGTAGCGATAGCGGGTAGGAGGTGGTGGACTAGTTTTTTTCTATTTTGGATGGTGTGTGCTGATGGTTGGCAACGATGATGTGTGGTGGTGGGTGTGCTTGAAGTCATTTTCCCTAGCTTCCAGCTCGAACCAAATTGTGTGTATATGGCTTATAGATATTGGTGAGTGTCACTCTCCCTCGAGTTCAAAACAAGAAATGGGAAAATTATGTGTGAATGAATAAAAAAGTGTGTAAAAGTGCTCTTCAAGCGTAGAGGGGCTTGCAATGCCGTGTTTTACTTGGAATGAGTATTCCAAGGTCGTCCCCTCAGGCAAAGGCAAGGTCAGGTGTTTGAAAAGTGATTTGTGCAAAAATAAAAATCGAAAAATCTTATGATTTGAAATTTGACAGGTTGTGAATTAAGAAAATATGCAAGAAAGCAAGGTTGGCTAATCCATAGAGGTCATTCCAATGGGAATGTCAAATCGACTCATTTCATTCAACCAATGGTGTCTTTGTATTTGATTGATTTGTAGGAAGTGAGGAACTAATGTAGTTGTGTTGGACAACAACATACCCCGTGACAAGTCTATGANGTCTTTGTATTTGATTGATTTGTAGGAAGTGAGGAACTAATGTAGTTGTGTTGGACAACAACATACCCCGTGACAAGTCTATGATGTATCAAAAGTCTACAACCACGTCCGCACTCAACCTAGTCAGACCAAACACTTTATACTACGAGGAAGAATGAAAGAGAGTCGATTTCACATACCCAAGAGGAATCCTCTTGGATTAGCCAACTAAAATTTTAGCTATGCATGATAAAAGTAAGAACAAACATGAAGTAGAGAAACATGGTAGTGAAATCAAACATGAACTTGTATTAATGTAAGAAGTTTAAACTACAAGAGAAAAGACATTCNTGCATGATAAAAGAAAGAACAAACATGAAGTAGAGAAACATGGTAGTGAAATCAAGCATGAACTTGTATTAATGTAAAAAGGATTTTAAACTACAAGAGAAAAGGCATTTATGCCCAAAATGTAAAGCTTGAAGAACATAGGACCCAAATGTGAAAATAAACCACAAGAAACTTAGCTAAGATTAATTACAACTTAAATAAAAGAGATTAAAGTACAAAATGGAAAAATTACATGTGAAATGAAGCTTACTACAATGAAAATGGTGAAGAAAAATATAAAACCCAGCTTTCTCTCACTAGAACTTCATCTACTACCTTGGACCTTCTCTCTCTAAAAGTATGATAATCTAAAAATATGTGTAGGAGCACTCTATTTTCGTCCATCCCCCTCTCTCATAACATGAGTGGCTAACTTGGAGTGATTGGAGAGAGTTTGTCCAAAAAAGTTTCCAAAATTAGTCAAAGAGTGGTTCACCCATGCTTTCCAACCACTCCCCTTCTCTTTCTTGACTTCCCATNATGTGTAGGAACTCTCTATTTTCATCCATCCCCCTCTCTCATAGCATGAGTGGCTGACTTGGAGTGATTGGAGAGAGATTGTCCACAAAAGTTTCCAAAATCATTCAAAGAGTGGTCCTCCCATGCTTTTCAACCACTCCCTCTCTCTCTTGGCTCCCCACTCCCTCATCCTTCAAATCTGAATGTAGGGGTTAGGAGATCATCATGGGGTGTTAGAGATGTCAAAGCATAGATTAGATGACAAAAGGTGGGCCCCCATAGTTGGTAGAGTCGTTTGGAGAATGGTCTGAGCTTTCTGGGCATCATCTACTGATAGCCCGTTGGTGACCTACCGGTAGTTCATTTCTAGTAGGATATGCTACAGGTAGGTCTTGCAAGGGGCACTGGTAGTTGCTTTTCAGTAGGCTTTTCTACTGGTAGGTCTTGCATGGCTTCTACCGGTAGTTCTTCCCTTGTCTTGGAATTCTTGGTTCCTTGAGCTCCTGAGCCATCTGTTATGAGGTGGTTTCTTCCCCCGTTGACCTTGATCACTTGATGGAGTGCTTTATGCTTGTCCTTTCCAAATTATCACCTACAATCAAGCCAATATCCTTAAATTATCAATTTGAATCCATTTCCCCAATAATTTATTACAAAACAAGTTAAATTGCATGCAATGGAGATGCTTAGTATGCAATNAATTATCAATTTGAATCCATTTCCCCAATAATTTATTACAAAACAAGTTAAATTGGATGCAATGGAGATGCTTAGTATGCAATGTTCCACACTCATCACACCCCCCAACTTGAGCTTTACTAGTCCCTAGAAAACCTTATTTCAAAATTATGCTACACGTACAACAATTCCATTCATGTTAAAACAACTCATGGATCAACACTATACTCAAATCATATGGCAATTATGTACATGAATTTGGGGCATAATGAAACAAAAAGTAAGGTTCTTTCATTCATACAAAGAACTCAAGACAAAATGGCCTAAGTTCCTAAAGACTCTTCTATTAGACTGACTACTCCTAAACCACTATCCCTGAATATATACAACCAACAAAAACAAGATTAGACTCTCTAATCCTTCTCCTTGTCATCATCATCATCGTCATCATCATTCTCATCCTCATCGGACTCACCCACCTCTACAATAGTCGAGCTAGTGGGGGCAGACACTTGGANGGACTCACCCACCTCTACAATAGTCGAGCTAGTGGGGGCAGACACTTGGACATCAGCACTAGTTCCAGGAGCTAGTGATGGGAATCCTAGTGCGGAGGGCAGTGGTGGCATCTCGGGGAGAGGCTTTCCAGGGAATGTCCTCTCGAATATCTTGGTCACCATCTGCTTAAACAGCTACATAGTCCCCCTGAAATCATCCAACCTCCTCTCGATTGCATTAAGGCTCTGAGAGACCGTCAAGGGTGGGCAACAGTGGATGGCCNTAGTCCCCCTGAAATCATCCAACCTCCTCTCGATTGCATTAAGGCTCTGAGAGACCGTCAAGGGTGGGCAACAGTGGATGGCCTGGCTATGGATGGTCCAGCTATAGGTGGCTCAGCCCTAGATGGCCTAGCTCTCTCTTCTCTCTATGCGAACCCTCCTGTCATGGTTGTCCTCTTCATGCTGCTTGGCTTGCTAATAGGGCCAAACTCAAGCGGGAGTGTCACGTCAGTGGGAATGCCCTTAACCTTGCTCTGGCAGTAAATCTTTGTGACAAGGTGGGCATAAGGAAGGTTCACCCTTGGCTTCGTAGCCTAGGCATAGTCCTTTATCACCTCCTAGATCATCAAGGCTATGTCCATCCTAGTGCNTTGTGACAAGGTGGGCATAAGGAAGGTTCACCCTTGGCTTCGTAGCCTAGGCATAGTCCTTTATCACCTCCTAGATCATCAAGGCTATGTCCATCCTAGTGCCATCCATGAACCCATTGAGGAGGCCCAGTTTCTCCTCCCCCGGTGTCTTCTCTACACCCCGAGGCAAAAGATTGTAATGAAGTACNGCCATCCATGAACCCATTGAGGAGGCCCAGTTTCTCCTCCCCCGGTGTCTTCTCTAAACCCCGAGGCAAAAGATTATAATGAAGTGCTTTGTTCATCACCACATAGAAATGTTTGAGTGCCCCAACTAGAATTTTCCCATTGAACTGTGCAAGGTCCTTATACATCAGGCTTGCATAATCTTGAAGTGATTTCCTCCCTTGGGTGTTTTAGGGAAAGAAAAGGGTGTTGGCAGCAAGCCTCTAATATTGCGNAGAATTTTCCCATTGAACTGTGCAAGGTCCTTATACATCAGGCTTGCATAATCTTGGAGTGATTTCCTCCCTTGGGTGTTTTAGGGAAAGAAAAGGGCGTTGGCAGCAAGCCTCTAATATTGCGATGCCTCAGCAATGACTATCAGGGTGACCTCAATCACCTTCCCCCTCACATTTGTCTTCAACAAACACATATATTCACTGCCACCCCCAACCTCTCACAAAATTCCTGACAAATGGGAAGCACATACCCCTGCACCACCTGGAACCAAAAGTGTAGGCCATGGACCTCAATCACTCGAACCACATCATCGTGTGGCCCGAGGGTCGGCCTATCCACTTGCCACTCGCACGTCACATTCTTGGCTTTAATGCTCTCTATGCGAGGGTCATTCCTCTTTTTCTTCCTTTGTTCCCCACTAATGGGGCCCAACTCCTCAGCCCTCTTGTNACCAAAAGTGTAGGCCATGGACCTCAATCACTCGAACCACATCATCGTGTGGCCCGTGGGTCGGCCTATCCACTTGCCACTCGCACGTCACATTCTTGGCTTTAATGCTCTCCATGCGAGGGTCATTCCTCTTTTTCTTCCTTTGTTCCCCACTAATGGAGCCCAACTCCTCAGCCCTCTTATAGGACCCGATTCCTGCTTGAGGTGGTGAGACAGGGCCCATTTGTTTAGTGTGGGCCAGTAAAATTGAAAATGCCCCTAGAGCAAAGACCAGTAACAACCAACCCCAAAATAACTCAAAAATACCAAGAGATGAAGGTGGAGACTTGCCCATTCTAGCCATTGTTCAAAAATCCAAGCTTTGAGTGAAAATCATGGCTTTCGATGGATTGGGTGATGTTTTGTGGAGAAGAGAGGATGTTTAGGGTATTTGAGAGAGAAGAAGTTTGGGAAGTGAAAAGAAATCAAGGGGAATCAAAACTTTGAGGGAGAAAATTGATGGATTTGGAGGATGCCTAATGTTTCTTTGAATGTTTGGAGGATTTTGAGAGAAGAGATAGTGTTTTTGAAAAGGAGATCAATAAGGGAGATGAAGGTTTTCCCAAAAAAAATTGGGTTTAACACCCTCGTTTTTTAGATTCTAGGCAAGAGCTACCAGTAGCTCGTGAGTGTCTTACCAGTAGATGACCTTTTAGGAAAAATTCTACCGGTTGGTCATTCTTATTCTACCAGTAGCTTCCCCTTTTGTTATTTTAGTCATTTTGCCACTAGCTACCGGTAGGTCACAAGTCTTCTACCGATAGATTGTTCAATTTCTACAAAAATTTCCTATTTTCTCATCCTCACTCCCACTCCAGGTTTATTCAACTCCAATGCATTCTAATGACCTATTTCCTAACTTAAAAACCCCAAATTCATTTACAAATTTGCAATGCAATTTGAGTCTTGATATTTTCACAACACATGACATAGAATTCCAAATTCAACAAAATAACCACCCAATATNAGAGCAAAGACCAGTAACAACCAACCCCAAAATAACTCAAAAATACCAAGAGATGAAGGTGGAGACTTGCCCATTCTAGCCATTGTAAAACAAAAACTACATTAAAAAGGGTATTCCTCTTTCTTTTCCATATCTAAAATTTGAGCAATATTCCCTTATCCTACTTGCTCTGGGTCACCTGACACAACTTTTCAAACACCTAAACCAATCACACATGAGTTTCATCATAGCTTTAAATGTTATTCTAGAGTATACACCTACATATTACCTTTCAAAACTCGTGTGTCTATAAATGAACATACAATTTAAACATTTACTCAACAGAATCCACATTCACTAAGCTATCCAAATTCAACTTTGATGCAATTCTCACCAGTGGTTTCTTTCAAAAATGAATAACTCTCCTAGCATGCGCTCCATGTGTATATGTGAGATGAAATCTTGTGCACAAACCAAATTATGCTAACATATAATCCAAAAAAAAATTGACGTGCTTGCATAACAATTGAAACAACATTGGCATAATCTCATGAATGGCATGTTAGGGCACTAGATAGCAAGACCAACTTTTCTTTCCAATTAAAGTGTGTTCTCGCCATTCTTTTTCTAAATCATTTAGGGCTTTCATGGATTGTAATGACGATTAGGGTGATATTTGGATCGAGTGAAATGAAGGGTAGAGGGAGACAAGAAGGATTATTCCAAAGACATGACCTTTGTTATCAAAAATCTCCTTTTTTTGTGGATTTTTCAGCTTTACACCTCACGCCTATGTCTCTTTTTCCTTCTTTCCTCAACATTTTTCTTCTCTTTTTCTTTTCTTTTTTTCAACCCCCTTTTTCTCTTTTTTCTTGGCTTTCTCTATTCTTTTTTTCATTCAAAATTTGAATTCAATGTCATTTATCCCTTTTTGGGTTTCTTCACCACATTTCCTTTTCTTCATAATTAATCGCGGTCAATCTCAAAAAAAAAAATGGTGTGGTAATTATAATCATTTTGCATTGGCTTGGTAAAACATGTGGCATGGAAATAAATTTTCAATTAAGGCTTAATCACGGCACTAGGGATAAATTTTCACAAGAAAAAGGCTAAGGCTCAACGCAATTCAAAGATGGCCAAAGATCCTCTCTAGATAAGCATAGAGAGGCATATTGGCATTTCAAGACAACGTCAATCAACTATCCACATACACTCTAACCAAAGTAAGAATAATGAGATTATTGAACAGATTTTGAATTTGAAAAATTGTTCCTTTGAGTAAATGTAAGTTCCCTCCAACAAGGATTAGCACTAAAGCTCACATGGGTACTTACTTCATCTCCACTATGTATGTCAAACTCTAAACTGTAGATCCAACCAGTAAATTGCCGAAATTACACATTCAAGGTACACTATGGTTGAGTTCAATTGAAAACACATATGTGTTACTCATGCATAAAATAAACTTCTATAGTGTACTCATGTATTCAAAGTTCAAAGGGAAGATCAAGTTGTCACTGACCCCATAATAATTTGAATAAGGGAATATGGTTCGACATTTGGATATGATCCACAAAAAATTTAAATTTTGTCAAAAATTTTTGCATATTTCTAACTATTTTATACAAAAATTGGTGTATCATACAAATGGTGCACCTCATTCCCCCCCCCCAACTTGAACTATGCATTATCCTCACTACAATAAAAAGACATGCAATGAGATAATGGAATTTAAAAGACAAGAAGGGTAAGAAAGGACCTAGCAATGAGCTTTAACAAAAACACCACTATATGCACACATGAAGAAAAAATAAACACTATGTACAGATGAAAGTAAGTAAACAATTTAACTTGTAAAGGACAAATGAAAACAACTATACACTGATGTCTACTTGATCAGTTATGCCTCAACAACATCCGAATGGACTAGATCCCCCAACTTCTCCTCCATTTCTTGAATTTCAAAACCCTCAAAGAATGGTTTAAGACTTTGGCCATTGACCTTGAATGTTTTACCATCTTTGGGATTTTCTATGTCTACGGCTCCATGTGGGTAGACCACCTTGACAATGTAGGGGCCATCCCATTTCGATCAGAATTTTCCTAGAAAAATAGAAAGGCAAGAATTATACAAAAGCACTTTTTGGTCGAGCTCAAATGTTTTTCTCATAATGGATTTGTCATGGAAAATTTTGGCCCTTTCCTTGTGAATTCTAGAGCTCTCATATGCATATCTGCGAATTTTCTTCAATTCATTTAACTCCAACTTCCTATGTTCCCCATCTATCCTCAGGTTGAAATTCAAGGTTTTTATGGCCCAATATGCCTTGTGCTCCATCTCCACTAGCAAGTGACAAGCATTTCCATAGACTAGCTGATAGGGAGATATACCAAGAATGGTCTTATAAGCATTGTAGTAAGCCCACAAGACATCGATCAATCTGAGTGACCAATACTTTCAATTCGGGTTAACCATTTTGTCAAGTATGCTCTTTATCTCCTTATTGGCCAACTCGGCTTGGCCATTAGTCTGTGGGTTATAAGTGGTAGACACCTTGTGTGTTACGCCATATTTATGCATCAATGAAGCAAACGGTCTACTGCAAAAATGTGAGCCACCATCACTTATCATTGCACGAAGCATCCCAAATCTATAAAAAAATATTTTCTTTTAAAACTTGAGCACAACTCGATGATCATTGATCTTGGTCGGTATTGGCTCTACCCACTTGGACACATAGTCCACTACCAACAAGATATAAAGGTAGCCAAAAGACAAGCAATGCATCCATAAAATCGATGCCCCAACAATCAAAAAATTTAATGACATGTATGGGGGAGAGGGGCATCATGTTTTTACGGGTCACACTTCCCAATCTTTGACACCTATAACTTTGCTTACAAAATGAGACACAATCTTTAATCAATGTAGGCCAATAAAAACCACTTTGTAAAATCTTAACTGAAGTTTTCTTGAAAGAGAAGTGTACACCACATGCTTCAGAATGATAAAAAGAGAGGACATCTCATGGTTCATTTCTGGTGCATACCTCCTCATGAATTGGTCAAGGTAATATTTGAATAGGTATGGGTTGTCAAAGTAGAAGTACTTCACATCCATCATGAATCTTCTCTTTTCTTCTAGGCTCCAATGTGGGGGAATTTTTCCTATGGCAAGAAAATTGCAAATGTCAGCATACCATGGACAAACTGAATGGATAGAAAATAGATGTTCATCAGAGAAAGCATCAGGGATAGGAATGTGCTCTTCGGCGTCTTGGACAACAAGCCGTGACAAATGGTTTGTCACCACATTCTTGACTCCTTTTTTTTCCTTGATGATTAGGTTGAATTCTTGAAGGAGAAGAATCCACCTAATGAGTCTCTGTTTAGCGTCCTGCTTGGACAACAAATACTTTAAAGCAAAGTGATCAGTGTAGACTATAATAGGTAAATCAATGATGTATGACCTAAATTTATCCAATGCAAACACTACAGCTAGCATCTCTTTTTCAATAATGGTGTAATTCATTTGTGCTTCATTTAGAGTTATACTAGCATAGTATATTAGATACGGCCTTTTATCTTCCCTTTGACCTAGCATTGCGCCGACTACGTAGTCACTCACGTCACACATGAGCACTAATGGGAATTTCCACTTAGGTGGTCACATGATTGGAGGTAAGGTAAGTATACGTTTAGGTTTTTTGAAAGATGTATCATAATCATCTGACCACATGAATGGGACATCCTTTGCTAACAAATTCGTCAAAGGTCTTGGCAATGCACTAAAATCCTTAATGAAATGGCGATAAAAACCTGCATGGCCAAGAAATGACATGATGTCCTTGACTACCCTTGGAGTGGGTAGGTTGAAAATTGCTTCCACTTTAGACTTGTCCACTTTGATTCCTTTTGCGAACACAATGTGTCCGAGCACAATCCCTTGTGTTACCATGAAGTGGCATTTCTCCAAGTTAAGCACCAAATTTATCACTTCACATCTCTCTAACACTTTCTCCAAATAGCCTTGAAAGGAGTCTCTAAACACTAAAAATTCGTCCATGAATACCTCCCTAATCTTTTCCACCATACATCTTTGAAAAGTTCCCAAGGCATTGCACAAGCCAAATGACATTCAACGATAGGCATATGTTCCAAAGGGGCATGTGAATGTGGTTTTCTCTTGATCTTCTAGAGCGATCTCTATCTGATTGTGGCCTGAGTAACCATCTAAGAAGCAATAGAAAAGATGCCCCGCTACNAGCCAAATGACATTCAACGATAGGCATATGTTCCAAAGGGGCATGTGAATGTGGTTCTCTCTTGATCTTCTAGAGCGATCTCTATCTGATTGT